CGGAGACAACGCCGAACATGTATTTTCTTGTGCTAAATGGGTGAGCATACCATGGCTACCACAAATGTAGTCTTCCATTGCATATCCCATGTACAGATGTAGCACTCCAGATAGGACTCCACCCAGCGGATTCCAACCAAAAACCCAGCAGATCCCAGTGGCTGGGAGATTAAAGCCCTCCCACTATTTTCTCAGAGGTCGTTTCCAAATGTCCCCATTTGTTCAATTTCAGGATTTAACCATGAGATGGCCTTCATTCACAAGTACACAAATGCGGCTTTCACACCAGCGCTTTTCCCGTTCTAGCTCCGTGCTAGTCAGGACTGAAACAGAAAAAAAAGACAAATTTAACTATTTAACAACAGTACTTTGTTGTTGCCTATCCTAATGATGTCTGTAGTGTCAAATCAGTTTGGATATGGGTTTATTAGTATTGATAATATTCTTGTACTAGTGATAGTGTTAGTGTAATCCTTACATACAAAATTGTGTAATGAATTGGTGTAGTGTAAAGGTATTAATCACCTTCTGATAAGAAGACAGAAAGGAAAGCACAGTGTGTTAATTACAACCCTAACATCAATATGATAATTGTCTGACAATGGTCAGGGCGACTCCCTTTTGTCTGAGAACAGCATGTAGAAGCCAACATGCTGTTTTTTTTAACTTATTTAAGAGTTAAGATAAAAGGTTAAACCTTCGTAATTGAGATATTTCAGAGTTAATTAACTTTACAGAACATTTAAATGTTGCTTTCAGCTCCAGGAAGGGCTATTATTATTATTATTATTATTATTATTATTATTATTATGTAACACGTGTTACACGTGGGTCATTGTGGTTTAGCTAGCAATCTCAAATTCAGATAGCACACAACAAAAAGTGTAATACGTGTCATTGAGATGATTTCGCGAAGCAGTGATACTAACAATAAAAAAGAAATTTAAATTCATACTTACATTCTGACACAAAGCGCTTACGGGGAATCTTCTTTCGCTTGCTTCTCGTCGTGTCATTTTCAGTGCTAAGCGGCGTGCAGAGCATAGACTGTATATTTAAGGTGTGGAGGTTGGGTTTTATATATACAGTCTAGCCGAGATGCACGTGACAGGCTCATGGCCAATTGTAGCACTTGAATGCTATGAAGGGGCGTGTCTTGCGTAGGGATCCAGCCGGGTCCCGATTTGCAGCGCATTAACACTTTATTACGGTTTTAATATTTTAATTGTATATCAGTGAAGATACAGAAGCTTTGCTTTGTCAATTTAACAAGGAAGATGAAATACCTGATTCAAAACATCAAAACTATTTGTTTTAATCGTGTGAACAACAAATGAGGATCAGGGTGAGTTCGCTGTGCTTCCATTTCCGGTCTGGCCCAGCAGGAGGCAGCACATGTTGAACTACGCTGGGTGTTAGGGTTTGTGGGGCCAGTAACACAGTAGTAGTCTATGGTTTTAGGTCATCATGACACTGCACACCAAAGTACTCAGTCTTATTGACGGAAGACAGACTTTTAAAAAAAAGAAAAAATTAATTGAATGGCTAATGAAAAAGGAATTGCTTCAAGGAAAAATGAAATGCAAACTCTGCAAAAAGAGGATGAAACTGGAGAAACACTCAAACGTCGACGGACTACTTCGATGACTTCTTCTGTTTACTGATATGTAATGTTACAAAGATAAATTCTTTATCAGCAAAAAAGGACTAGGAATTTACGATTTGTCTTTTGTAGGAAGTGCTGACGTAAAAAACACAGAGGGAAAACGACAAAGAAGTCAGTGAGGTCTTTGTCCCTGTTTGAGAGGAGCAAATTATCCTTGTTCAGCTGGATGAAATACATTTACAGGTAATATTAAGATCATGTTCTAGACTCATGAAGATGGAAATGAATGAGATCATGTATAGATAAGACAAATTATCGGATACTTTTTGATAATTCTTTGCTTTTCGATTTCCGGATTACAATCGTCTATCACCCTAGTTCATACGATCAAATCGATCGAGTTGCTAAGGAATTTATTATAACGGTCTTGTCTTGTATTATAGAAGACAATTCTAGTGCTTGAGACGTTCGAGGTTGTCCCTCGAGACGATGACTTGTAAGGCTTTGACAATTCCTCTATGCCAAGGTAAGAAATAACACGTAGGTACCCATCCCATTTGGGAAATATAGATGTCAGATACCCAATTTGTGCGTACATCATGAGTATTACGGGCTCCCTTTATTGAGAGCTTATAACTAGTAGTCTCAGCCGAGTGAGGACCCCCGAACACACTTCGCGGCGTTAACGGGCCGGTGTGGAGGTTACGTCGGACGCAACATTGATCGCGGAATCAGGGCCGATCGAGTACGATTGTATATTACCCTATTGCATTAACTGCGCGATTGACTTTAATCGAAATCTGTAGCCATTACAATTTGTTGTAAGTTTGTACGAATTTTATTTGCATATAGGAAATGTCCGTTAGTAAACGGGCACCGAGACTCATTTATTGACTATANCATTTTAGAGACGTGCTGTAGTTGAAAGGTGTCACGACCTCGACACAAACTTTTGTTACATTCAAGACTGTGTCTCTGGGTCGTGCATTTGGGTTCTCCAGTTTGTGTCGAGGTCGTGACACCTTTCAACTACAGCACGTCTCTAAAATGGCTTGGCAGAAGAAATGGCTTCATATTTTTTGTGTTGATTTGTTATCGCCACTGTTTTAAAAATGCAATCTCCTTGTTTTTGGATATTAATATCCATTGTTTTATGGATGAAAATATTTAATAAGCGTAGGAATTGCAGCTAATTGTAAAGGTCAGTTAAGCACAGTTTATAAGACATGGAAGATAATTGTACATGGGATATGCAATGGAAGACTACATTTGTGGTAGCCATGGTATGCTCACCCATTTAGCACAAGAAAATACATGTTCGGCGTTGTCTCCGTGCAGTTATTGGTGAGCTTTAATTTTTGGTTATCTGTAAATTACCAGCATGACATGAAGTATACTATCATAAATAAATTGTTTTACACTTACAATACTGATACTGTAACTTAAAATTATAGCATTAAAGTTTCTATTTTACAGTTGAAACTCTATACCGTAAACAAAGATACAGTACTTTTTAAATGACGGTGTTTTATTTTACAGCTATAACAAAAAATAAAGTTATTACATATTACTGTGTTTCGTTTTACAGTTTAAACCCTATTACCGTAAACACAAATACAGTACTTGGAAGTTACTGTTTCATTTTACACTGTTACTCTAAATAAAAACTTGTAAATACTGTGATTACCTTTACAGTGTAACTGGCAGCAATTGACAAGTTATTTACTGTAATTCATCAATCATCAATCAATCAATGTTTATTTATATAGCCCAATATCACAAATGTTACATTTGTCTCAGTGGACTTCACAGTTTGTTCATTCAATTCATTTTACAGTATGTAACTGGCAGCAATTGACAAGTTACATACTGTAATTAATTTTACAGTAAGAAACTTGTCAATTGCTGCCAGTTACGTACTGTGAATTTCACAGTACGTTTCTTACAGTGTAGTGACAAACATTTTTAACGTGGTTTACTGTCTATTCTCTGCTAAATGTATTAGATATTATTTAGTGTGCTATCTTACTAGTGTAGTTCACAAATAACCACGTGAGAAGTTCATCTTTAACACTGCAAACAACTATTGATACAAACTTTAATATTTGAGTATTGCATTCGTACTCCATTCATAATATTCATGGGGACAATTATATTTGTGAGCACATTTTCGCTCCATGTGCCACATTGTTGTGACCAAAACATCATACGGCGTAAACACAGTTCTCACGCATAAATGAAAACAGGCTATAAAGGACTTTCATGAAGGCGTGTGATGACAGGAAATCTTTGTGACGGTGCAGCGCTCATTAGTTTGTCAGAGAAGCCTCTCCCTGCAGGGATATGACAGCCGCCTTCTGCATTGCTAAGTCAAGCGCTGACAGCTGT